CCTCGCCCCGGGGCCGGCCCGGGCCGGGCAGAGCGGCGTCTGCGGGCTCCGTCCCCGCGCCTCCAGGGAGGGGAAACTGAGACATCATCCAGCCGTAGCACCTCGCTAGAACCCTAAGCCCTGCGCGGACCTCAGTTTCCCTGGAAGGTTAAGGTCTTCCGGAGTCCCCACGGGCAGTGAGCGCTGCTCTGCCTCCTTCCTGCTGCAGGAAAAGAGGATCTCGAGCCCCACAGCCTGCTCCGAGCCCGCCTGAGCGAGACCCCTCGGAGATGGCGGCGCCCTACCCCAGCAGTGCCGGCGGCGGCGAGGTCAAATGCGGGGCAGGAGGTGGGGGCAGCGTCCGGTGGGACTTTCTGCCCGCGGTCAAGGCTCCGCCCGGACCGTGGTAAGCAAAGCCCCGCCCCTCGGGCCGTGGCCCCGCCCCCAGAGAAAGAGGAGTCTTGCCGTCCTGGAGAGTTCACACCCAGCTTTCTGCCCTGCTCCCAGGGAGAGTTCACACTCAGATTTCTGCCCCGCCCCCTGGGGGAGTTCACACGCAGCCTTCCACCCCCCTCCCTGGCTGAGTTCACACTCAGATTTCTGTCCCTGTCCCACCCCCTGCTAGAATTCAAACGTAGCTTTCTGCCCCGCCCCCCAATTCACACCCAGCCTTCTGTCCCTGCCTCCTGGGGCTGTAATTTCTTACCCAGACTTACCAAACGTTGTTAGATATCCCTCCAGGATCTGTTCCCAGTCCCCTACCAAAGAATTTATACTCGATATTCTTAATCTCTCCCACCTAACCACCCGCCCCCAATCTACACTCAAGGTTCCACCCCCACCTCTATGTTGAATTCACTCCCGGCCTCCTGTCCCCTCTCCGAGGCCCCAGGAGGCTAGTTCGTCCCCTGGCCCCGCTCCCCGGCTCTCCCAGGCCCCGCTGACGCCCCTTCCCGCCGCCCGCCCAGCCTGCAGGCGCAGCGCAAAGAGAAATCCCGCAACGCTGCGCGCTCAAGGCGCGGGAAGGAAAACCTGGAGTTCTTCGAGCTGGCCAAGCTGCTCCCTCTGCCCGGCGCCATCTCCAGCCAGCTGGACAAGGCGTCCATCGTGCGCCTCAGCGTCACCTACCTCCGCCTGCGCCGCTTCGCAGCGCTCGGGGCACCCCCCTGGGGGCTGCGGGCAGCTGGGCCGCCTGCTGGCCTGGGTGAGTGCGCATGCGCGGGAGCTGGGGCCCCGGAGCCCTCTCGGACCGGACCCTACCGGGCAAAGGATCTGAGCTGGAGGCCTCCCCTAGTTAGGCGACCGAGAGGGGAGCACGGTTGGAGTCAACCAGACCTTTTGTATGTCCCTATCAGGTGACTTCTGCTCTCCAAGCTTCAGTTTTTCAATCTCTAAAATGGACACAAAAAAATTGGGAAGATGTCGTGAATTCTGGCCTAAGCAAGGGCCTGGCAACACCAGGGATGGGACCACTAGTAAATACAATTATTTTTATTAGAGAAGATGAATCATTATCACAAAAGAGCCCCTCAGCTCCATGGGCAGGACAGAGGGACCCAACCTGTGTCTGCCCTCACTAAAGGCTAGAGACCCCCACCCATACTTGAAGGGCTCTAGAGGACGCACAAGGACTCTGGAGTCTGCATTCCCAGTTCAGAGGGAGGGAGACAGTGTAATACGGCAGGTAAGATGGGGAGCTTCAGGAAAACACACCTGGATGTTCTGTCCCCACTCCACACTTCCCGGCATTGTGACCCTGGGCAGGTTGAGTTACCTCTCTGTGCCTTGTTTGTAAAATGGGAATAATGAGCAAAGCTCCCCAGAGGGCTGAGGAGAGGATTAACCAGGTAATATGTGTAAACCAGGAGCCCTGGTAACACAGGGGTTAAGCACTAGGCTGCTAACCAAAAGGTCTTCGGTTTAAGCCATCAGCCATTCCGAGGGAGAAAGATGTGGCAGTAAAGATTTACAGCCTTGGAAACCCTATGGGGCAATTCTGCCTTGTCCTATAAGGGTCGATGTGAGTCTGAATGGACTCGATGGCAATAGATTGGGGTTATATAGTGAGTAGAACATGGGCGCCCTCTGCCCTTCAGAGTGTGAGAGGCACCATGCTTTGCTCTCTGACTTCAGCTAAACCGATGTACCCTCTGTGCCTCAGTTTCCTCATCTGAATTATGGAAGCAGGCACTTGGCTTCTTGTTGGGGACCCTTGTAGGACTGGAGATGCCACCAATATCTCAGTTGAGGCAGGCATGGGAATCCACACAGCACCTTCCACTGTTCTGCCCCCACTTGGTATCAGCGTGCAGGCAGGGAGGTCACTGAAATCCGTGGTCTGCCACCCCAGTGCTGTAATCTCTGAGAACCGCTGCCGGTTTCCGAGCCTCAGATTGCCCATCCAGGCAATGGGGGTGCTGGGTGCTGACGGGGCCTTTTCAGCCCCCCTTCATGTCCCCCTTCCCTCCCCAGAGCTTGGGGACAATAGACAAGATGTTTATCCCCCGCCAGCGCACATGTTGTTCGCGGTAATGACAGTAATCAGCGGCACTAATGCCGCATTCTCCTGATGCCAGTCAATTCGCCTAATTACCGCCTGGGAAGCCGAATTATTTAAATTTAAATGGTGATTTATTGCGAGTTTAATCAATGCTATTTTCTCTCCCCCCTCCGCCCCTGGGGCTGAGGCAGGAGGGGAATTGGAACCCTTCCAACCCCACCTTGAGGATACCCTCTTCTCCTTGGTGGGGGGTTAGGGGTAGCCTGGGGTCCCCTTGTCCCTTTTACCTGCGTCCTCAGATTAACACGATTCACTGCCCCTGAGTAACAACAGTAAAGCAGTAAGACATAAAACAGAAATAATAATAACAGTAACATAACACTCCTTCTGTATTGTTTATAATAAAGTCTGAAGAAGAATAATACAATTAGATATCTATATTGTATGTATTTTACATATTCTGTGGAGTCCCTGGGTGCTGCAAAGAGTTAATGAACATGCTTGCCTGCAAACCGAAGGGTTGGAGGTTCAAGTCCGCCTGGAGGCACCTTGGAAGAAAGGCCTGGCTATCTACTGAAAAATCAGCCATTGAAAACCCTATGAAGTTCAGTTCTACTCTGACACACATGGGGTCGCCATGACCTGGACTCAACTACAACAATATATTATATGTATTTTACATATTCTGTGTTATTTCTTTATTGTGCTGTTAGGCCAGAGCACTCAGAACCGTGCCGGGTACACAGTAGATGCTCAATAAATGCTTCCAACAGCCCTGCAAGGTCACCATGGTTAACAATACCTGTAAACCAGTTACCATCAAATCAACTCCAACTCGTGATGACCCCACGTGTATCAGAGTTGAACTGTGCTCCATGGGGTTTTCAATGGTTGATTCTTTGGAAGTAGATCACCAGGCCTTTCTTCTGAGGTGCTTCTGGGTGGACTTGAACCACCAACATTTTAGTTAGTAGCCCATCGATTTGCACCACCCAGGGACTCCATGGATAACAACAGTCTTCATGTGTTGATTGCTTTACATGTAAACCAAACAAAACCCATTGCTAACTCACAGTGGCCCTATAGGACAGAGTAGAACTACCCCATAAGGTTTCCAGGGCTGCAAATCTTTACGGAAGCAGACTGCTACACCTTTCTGCCAAGGAGAGGCTGATGAGTTCAAACTTCCAACCTTTCCGTTAGCAGCTGAGCACTGAACCACTTCGTCACCAGGGCTCCTTTTACTTACTGTATACTGTATACAAATTACTTAAGCCTCTCAAAAATCTTAGGAAGGAGGCACTATTATAATTTCCATTTTATAGAAGAGGAAAACTGAAGCTCAGAGCGGTGAAGCTGTTTGCCCAAGGTCACACAGCCCAGAGAGGCCCAGCTGAGATTTGAACTCAGGCAGCTGGTGCCAGCATTCACCTTCTCAATCTCCGTGCCTGGCATGTTTGTAGGTCTGCAGGGCTGAGTCCTCTCTTGCAGGCCTCAGCCTCTGTCTAGGCCTCAGTCTACCACCTGTAAAATGGGGCCACGAGTGTGAACGTCCAACGCTAAGCCTCTGAGTCTGGGGAGGACACAGCCTTGACCTCATATAAGCATTCGGCATTCTTTCAACAAGCTCCCATTGGACTCCTTCTCTGAGCCAGGCGTGCTTCGTGGTGCTGGGGACGCAACAGAAAAAGGACAAAGTCCCTGCCCTCAAGGGTGAGGCGAACAACCCCTGCACACCAGGTCCTCCGCCTCCCACCTCCCTAATCTTCTCTCTCTCTCACCTCCTCACCCTTCCCCCACTCGCACACACTGTCCTTGCTGTTCTTCAGTGAAGCATGTTCACACCTCAGAGCCTTTGCTCGTGCTGTGCCCTCCACCAGGAACTCCCGTCCCTCACAGCTTTTCAGGCAGGCCTTCTCAGAGCCCCAGATTTAAAATGGCAGCCTCCCTCTCCCCCAGCACCCCCTGCTGTCCTTTCCTGCCTTATTTTCTTCATAGGGCTTCTCATCACCTGACACTCTCTGTCATTGTTGTTTGGTGCCCTCAAGTCAATTCAGACTCACAGTGACCCCACAGGACAGAGTAGAACTGTCCCATAAGGTTTTCTAGGCTGTAATCTTCTCGGGAGCAGATTGCCAAGTTCTTCACCTGCGGTGCCGCTGGGTGAGTTTGAACCGCTGACCTCTCAGTTAGCAGCCAAGCACTTAACCTTTGCGCCACCAGGGCTCCTTTGACACTCCGTATCACTTATTTGTCTCATTCGTTGCGTGTCCCTCCCCCACAGCAGGTCAGTCACTGAGCTTACAATAGTGCCTGAGGCAGAGTGAGGGCTCAATAAATATTTGTTGGGTGACTGTGGAGTGTGGAACTGGGTGAGGGGAGGAGGGCTAATATCCTGGATCCCAGGTCAGGAAAGTCTTCTCTCAGGAGGTGACGTTTGAGCTGAGGTGTGAAAGAGGTGAAGGAGCCAGCTGTGAGAAAGGCTGGAAGAAGAGCTGTCCCAACAGAGGCAGCAGAAAATGCAAATGTCCTGAGTCTGGCAGGAATTAGCTTGCTGGGGGCAGGACACAGCCATGAGGCCAGGGTGTCTTGGAAGGGAGTAAGGGGAGCGGGGAGGTGAGCTGTGCAGGGCCTCGGGGCCCAGGTGAGGCTGGAGCCACGGTGGGCTCTGAGCAGAGGAGGGAAGGATCTGACTCAAGTTCTGATAGGTGCCCTCTGCCACACAGGGAACAGCCTGGGTGGGGAGGGGGCATGAGGATGGGTGCAGGGAGCCTGTGAGGAGACAACTGCAGTGGTCAAGGCAGGAGGTGGGGCAGCTGGACTGGCTGGGGACCCTGAGGTGAGAGGTGGCTGAATTCATGTACTTGGTGTAGAAGGCCATGGGATCTGCTCATGATGGAAGTGTGTGTGAGAGAATGGGATGGGGTTGAGGCAAACGCCAACGAACTGTCTGGAATGGTAGAGGTGCACAGTGTTATTCATATAATACTGCTAATAGTACCGGGACTCAGGAATTGGCACCTACTGTATGCTCAGTTGTGCTGAGGAAGCACTTTGCATACAAAAACCCATTGCGCTCTATCACTAGACCCATTTTCCAGATTTTGAGGTGAGGAAAGTACAGGCAGAAGTGCCCCAGAGCCTTCCCCATGGTGACCCTCTTCCCAAATCCCAGGCCTGTTCACAGGGAGCAACTAGGCACTTTGATGATGGGAGGGTTCCCTCTCCCCCAACCAAGCCCGGGAACAAATCCCAGCCCCTCATCCCCATGACCTGGTTCTGCCAATCCCTTCAGGACAATTGAGACTCAGAGAATCTCCCCTTTCTCCCCTTGGTCCCCCCTCTCTCCGCCCCTCAGTCCCCGCACTCTCTACCCCTTAGTCTCCTCCTCTCTGCCGCTCAGTCTTCCCCCTCTCTCAGCCCTTCAGTCTCCCTTACTCTGCCCCTTGGTCTCCTCCCTCACTCGGCCCCTAGGTCCTGCTCTCTCCGTCTCTGCCTGTCGGCCCCACCTCTGTTTCATGCCGACTGGGACAGCTTTTCGTCCCTGGTGGGTCCGCAGGGTGACTCAGCCGACTCAGAGGCAGAAGAGAAACTCAGCGAGTGTTTGTCGAGTGAGGAGAAGTGTTCGGGATTTGGACGTGGGGAGGAGGCAGGGTTGATGGGCGGGGAGAGGGCAGATCTGGGAAGAGGGAAGAGCCACCTGCTGAATTTGGGGGACTAGGAGTTGGGACAGTGGCGGGGGAGGGGAGAAAAGGAACAAGGGGGAGGAGTCGGGGAGTTGGCGGGCTTGGGGGGTGGGGGAGGCTGGGGTAGTAAGACACAGTCGGTGATGGAGACTGGCTCAAGGGGGTCCCCAGACTCGGGCCAGGGCCGGCGTTTGGTGTTTGGGGAACCGTAGGTCCCTGAGCCCTCCCCCCACACACCCCCATCCCGTCGTGCCCATTAACGCTGTTAATTGCAGCGGCTCCGTCTGACCCAGGCTGATCCCGTGAGAGGGAAAATGAAGGAATTAGCAAAAATGACAGGGGAAAATTGCGACAATTAGCAAGCGGCATTGTTCCCGCCTGTCACCCGGCTGGTTCGCGATGCATCTTGGGGGAGGGGTCCCCACCACCCCCTCCCCCGTGATTTTTCCTGGCTCTCCCGGCGGGGTTGGAGAAAGGGTGTGAACAGCAGAGAATGTTAGGGCGCTCCTGGGAGAAGGAGGCGTGGCCTGACGTTAGGGGGGCCCAGGAGGCGGAGTTCTGATTCCAGTGGGGCGGGGGCGGGGTTTCGCCGCCTGGTGTGTTAAACAATCGCAATCACAATATTAATACTAATCCCGGCTCCGTTCTTGGGAACCCCCGCCCTGTGCCAGGCCCTGCCAGGCCCTTTCTGGTGATGAGGTTCACTGAGGGCTCCCAGCAGCCTGAGAGGTTGGCATTCTTTGCAAACCCACTCGACAGATGAGGAAATGGAGGCACAGAGAGGTGAAGGGACTGGTCCCAGGGCACACAGCCGGGGAGAGGCAGCGCCAGGGCTTGACACCACACGTGGGCCCATAGCCTTGCAGGAACCAGACGCTTGGGGACCCTCGAGGACACCCTACCCCCTCCCACCTCTGTGGAGTGCCTGAATCTCCAGAGGGGCGGTCATTCTCTGCAGGGTCAGGTAGGGCGTCCAGGACCCAGGGGTCTCTATTGAGGCTTAGCAGGGTGGTGCCCCCAGCATAACGTGGCGGGGTGGGTCAGGGGGCATGTCTCTCTTCGTCTCTGTCTCGTTCTCCATCCTGCTTTCTCCATCGTTTTCTTTGTATGGCTGTCTCTCTCCGAGTGTATCTCTTCCTGTCTCTCCATCTGTTTATCTTTTTCCCCCCTCTCTGTCCCAATTTCTTTCTCTTTATCTGTCTCCAGAGTCCCTGGGTGACACAGATGGTTTGCACTGGACTACTAACCTAAAAGTTTACAGTTCAAACCCACCCAGCAGTGCCACGGAAGAAAGGCCTGGCAGTTTGCTTCCATAAAAATCACAGCCAAGAAAACCCTATGGAGCAGTTCTACTCTGTAACACACGAGGTCGCCATGAGTCGGAGTCGACTTAACAGCAATGGGTTTATATCTGTCTCTGTCCCTGTTTCTTCCTATCCCTGTGTCTTTCTCTTTCCATTTATTTGTCTGTGTCTTTGTCTGTCTTTCCCCCTGTCAGTCTCCTATCTGCGTCCTTCTTACCGTTCAGGTCTGAGCTCAAATGCCCCCTCCTTCAGGTCTCACCTCATTATTCAATATGTCACATCAACATCGCCTATTTGTCTCTTCATAGCGCCAGACACAAACGATAATTCTGTTGGTTTCTTGTTTGTTCATCTCCCTCTGGCCTGGGAGCACCATGAGGGCAGGGCTGGGGCTGTCCTAGTCACCTTCTTGTCCGTAGTACGGGCCCTGGCACCCAGAAGATGCTCAAGGAGTATTTGCCAGATTTAAAAACAAAAAACAAAAAAACAAATCCATTGCCGTGGAGTTGATTCCAACTCATAGCAACTTGCTGGATGGATGGATGAAAAACGAATGAATGACTGAATGAATGAATCTCTTTCTGCATCTCCTGGTCGGCCTCGCTTTCTCTGTTTGTCTCCCTATCCCACAGACCACTGCCCCTCCTGCCCTCCCCACACTCAGGTCACCCCCCACAGGACTCAGGGACTCCAGATCCCCAATATGCCAAGGTGGCTACAGGACTGGAAGGGGTAAGGAGAGATTTGTAGGGTAGCTCCCTGTAGGCTTGCTCAGACCAGCAGGCCTGGTCTCACCCCTTCCCCTCTTCCCCACCCCCAGCCCAAGCCCGCAGGTCCTCCTCTGCGCTGGTCTCCGACGTCTTCGAGCAGCACCTGGGAGGACACATCTTACAGGTGAGGCTCCTTCCCGGCCTGCTGCTCCTTGCTGCCACCTGGTGGCCGCCGCCTCGGAACTGCAGCCTCTTCTTCACCATCCATCCGCATCCATCCTGCCCCCGCCCCGGAAGCCCCTTCTTCACCAGAACAATCCATCCCAGGCGGAGACCCAGACTTCAGAACCTCTCTTACCACTTGTCAGCCGGACAGATGGATGCCAGGTCTTCCCCTGCCCCCTCCCTCTCTCTCCCCTCTCTAGTCCCTGGACGGCTTCGTCTTTGCCTTGAACCAGGAGGGAAAGTTCCTTTACATCTCAGAGACTGTGTCCATCTATCTGGGTCTCTCACAGGTAAGGAGCCCCCAGCGGCCATTTCCCTCGCTGGGCCGACGCATGCCCTTTTTGTCTGTGGGTCTCACCATCCCAGCTTGAAAAAACACTTTTATAGTTTTTACAGAGATTTTGGCAAATGATAAATTTGGGAAACTCAGCAAAGTGGTCATTCGTCCTCTGTGAACAGCTTTTCAGTGAGTTATTAGGGTTTCCTGGGAGGAAGACCTGAAGGAAGGGGAATTTGGGCAAGAGGAAGGGGGGGAGGACTAAAAGACAAAAGGTTTGGAGGCTGGACCAAGGCTGGTATGGGGGAGGGCTTCATGAGAGGGAGGAGCTCACAGGGATGAGGTGAGAGAGGCATGTGAACCTAAACTGAGGGGCAGTGGGAGCCATGGGAGGTGTCTGAGAGGAGGAGGAACAAGGTTAGATGAGTAACTTGTGGAGGGGTATTTGAGTGGAGAGGAGAGATTGAAGTTCAGAAGACCAGTGAGGAACCTGGGGCAGGAACAAAGCAGGCAGAAGACGGGAGCCTGGACTGGGGGGCGGAGCGGAGAGAAGGGGGCTGCTGCGAGGAGGTTTGGGAGGTAGAACTAAATGTAAAAATCATCTGATTAAAGTGTTTGAGTTTGGAAACCATTCCTCTGCTTGTACCCTGAGTTCCATTCAGGCTGGGACACACGGTGGTTCTTGTCAGGGCACAGTTGTTTGCTGTATGGGGTAGTCAGAGTTGGAAAATGGAGGCTATGTATGACAACCACCCCATCCAACCATGCAACACACACACATCCTGTTTTTAAGAGTAGGCATGGGAAGAAAAATTCTTAATATTCACTGGATATGAAGTAGATAGGGCACATAAAATTTGTATCCTCCTCCCCCCCCAAAAAAAAGAAATATTTTTCTAATAAAAATACAAGACAGTCATGAAGCGCACCTGCGTGCATTAGAGTGAGCCTGAGGCTACCAGGCGGGCGAGTGACTGCGCGCGCACCCCACACTTGCCTTTTCCTCCATCACCGACAGGTGGAGCTGACGGGCAGCAGCGTCTTTGACTACATCCATCCTGGAGACCACTCCGAAGTGCTGGAGCAGCTGGGGCTGCAGGCGCCCGTGCCTGGGCCCCCCACCCCGCCCTCCATCTCTTCCTCTTCTTCCTCCTCCTCCTCTTCCTCCTCGCTTGCGGAGACCCCTGAGATTGGTAATTCAAAGGGCCCCCAAAGAATGAGGCATGAGGGCCGGTCAGGGGGCATTGGGTATGTTGTATCCAGCTATGCCTTACTTATGCAAAAACTTGGGCAAAGCAAGTTTTTGTAAAATGAATCGGAGTCGAAAAGGAGGTGGTGAGACTTGGCTCCCTAAAATTGTCTCAGCTCCCTAAGATTGCTGGCTCTCCAAGATTTGAGATTTCGAAAGAACCCTCTGGCTGCTGAATGGAGGTAGCAGTAGCTTTGGGAATAATAATAACGCAGGCTTGTTGGCATTTACATTGGGCCGTGCCTCTAAGTACATTACTGCACTGAATCCTCATCACAACCCTACAAAGCAGAAACTATTATTATCCTCATGTTTACAGAGAAGAAAACTGAGGCACAGCACAGAGAGGTTGATTGCCCAAGGTCTCACAGCTATGTGTTTGAGCTGGACTTGAACCCAAGCTGGTCTGGTTCCAGGGTCTGGGCTCTTAGCTGCTCTCTCCAGTGGGAAATTCTACCTGCATATTGGAGACGGAGGGTGTTGGGGACGACTCTTAATGTTCCTTTGGCTCTGAGACGATGGGAGACTCGGTGGTTAACTTTGCTAAAAATAGGATTTTCTTTTATTGGGTTTGCTTAACGCTCCAAACATCTGGGATATCAGCAGTGCTTGCAAGCTTGGGGCGTTGCTTGTGACTGAGTATATGGGACTGTTTGAGAGTGTGCTGTGTTTGTACGTAAGTTTAGGGTACAGGGTCATCTGTGTATGAATGTATTTAATAGATTCTGAGCCCTGGAAGGAGCCCTGGTGGTGCAGTGGGTAAAGCATTCAGCTGCTAACTGAAAGGGCGGCGGTTTGAATCCACCAGTGGCTCTGTAAGAGAAAGATGTGGCAGTCGGCTTCCATAAAGATCACAGCCTTGGAAACCCTATCGGACAGTTCTACTCTGTCACATGGGGTCACTATGAGTTGGAATCGACTTGCCAGCACCCAACAACAACATGGTGGGTTTTACAGAATAATCTGGATTTCTGAGTCTTACTTGTTGCTATTTCCTGAGCTCCTGCTCTGGGTCTGGCCTCATGCAGGGCAATGCTGGGGACAATGTAGTGACCAAGCAAGCCCTGGCCCTGCCCTCTTGGGGTTCCCAGTCAAGTGGGGGAGACAGACCTGTCCCCAGAGGGTGAGGACTCAGAGTAGGTGGGGCTGGGACCAGAGAGCCCAGATGGAGCCCTGGACCAGCCTGGTGGTCAGGGAGGGCTTCCTGGAGGAGGAGACAGCTCAGCTGAGACCTGGAGGATGTAGCTAGAGATGGTGTCAGCAGGAAGTAGATCTTGCCAAATTTTTAGGCCATGGTGAAGAACTGAAAGGAGCCCTGGTGGCACAACGGATAAGCGCTCAGTTGCTAATTGAAAAGTTGGTGGTTTGAACCCACTCAGTGGCTCCGTGGGAGAAACACCTAGTGATTTGTTCTCATAAAGATCACAGCCTAGAAAACTCTATGGGGCAGCTCTAGTCTGTCACAAAGGTCGCTATGCCCCATGATGAGGGTGACCAATGGAATTTAGGGAATCAGGTGTGGGAACTGGACCACACAGGAAATTGACAGTACCTAACAACAGTGAGGAGCTGGGCTTTCTCCCCAGGGCCCTAGGGAGCCATAGCATGTTCTAAGGAGAGAAGGGACAGGATCCGATTGAGCTTTAGAAAGACTCCTCCCCTCTGACTGCCCAGTGGAGGGGAGGTTAGTGTATGACGTCAGTGAGCTTGTAGAACCATTAAGAGTCTCTAAGGGAGAGTGGGTGGCCTGGGGCGGGGAGTTCTCCTAAATCTGGTTGACTCTGCAAGGGCGAAGGTGGCCTGCGTGTTTCTCCTCTTCAGGACCCCCTAACCGTCCTTCCCTCTCCACCCCAGAGGCCAGCCCTGCTCAGGTGCCCCCATCCTCCCGAGTCCAGGAGCGCTCCTTCTTTATCCGCATGAAATCCACCCTCACCAAGCGGGGGCTGCACGTCAAGGCCTCGGGGTACAAGGTGGGTGTGCCTTCTCTGGTCGCCGCCTCCGACTCTCACTTCCCTGGTGGCCCGGGGCCTGCGCTTGCGTTCCTGGCAGCTGTTCCCTGTGCCGAGGGTGACCAATGGAACCAGGCTGGTGGCTGTAGCTTCTAGGAGCCTCCAGCCCTCGGGAAGCACCCCAGCTATACCCCATACCCGAGGGTGACGAATGGGACTTTGGGAACCAGGTCTGGGAACTGCCCCGTGGCCCGGGTATGGTCCTCCCTCCCCCTCCAACCACGCCCACTGCCGGCAGGTCATCCACGTGACCGGGCGCCTTCGGGCCCGCGCCCTGGGCCTCGTGGCCCTTGGTCACGCGCTGCCCCCAGCCCCACTGGCGGAGCTGCCACTGCACGGTCACACGATCGTCTTCCGCCTCAGCCTGGGTCTCACCATCCTTGCTTGTGAGAGCAGGTACCGGGGTCGGGGCGGAGGTGGGCGGATGGGGGCGCAGGAGAGCTGGGTATGTGGGGAAGTCAGAGGGAGTCCGGTTGTGTGGGCACTGGGAGCCACGGGCAGCAAAAGAGCTAGAGGGACGTGGGAGAGTGAAAACGGATGCGAAGGTGGGGAGGGCAGGCGAGGGCTGGGGGCGGGGCCTTTGGGATAGAGGGCGGGTCTAAGCCCTCCCTCCAGGGTCGGCTCTGCGGAGCCCTGCCCCTCCCTGACCCCGTTTCTTTCTGGTCTCATTTCTCATCCATTTTCACTCCTGTGCTGCGCGGTGGGGAAACATATAGTGAAATAGTACCCACGCTGAGCACCTCCCGAGTGCTTAGATGTTCACAGCCACCTGAGGAAGGGGCACTATTATTACACCCATTTTACAGAGGGGGAAACTAAGGCCCAGAGCACCCCAGAGCCAGGGTTGGAGCCCAGGGTGACTCCGGAGCCGACCCTGCCTCTTCTCTCCCACCCCATGGACTCGGACCTCTTCTCCTCTCCTCTGTCACCTCCTGTCCTCAGAGTCAGCGACCACATGGACCTAGAGCCCTCGGAGCTGGTGGGCCGCAGCTGCTACCAGTTCGTCCACGGTCAGGATGCAGCCAGAATCCGCCAAAGCCACCTGGACCGTGAGAACATCCCCCTCCCCAGCCTAGCCCCACTCCAGACCTGAGCACCCCCAATGCCCTACTCTCTGGAAGTCCTTCTTCAGGGCTGACCGCAGTCCCTCCTGCTGCATCTCCATCCTCAGGGGCTCAACTCGGCACAGGCAAAGCAGCAAGGAGACTGAGCAACAGCTGAGGACGTGGGTGGGCGTAAGGGAGGCTGTGGAGTCTCTGATGCCAGGGTGTCGGACACCTCGTGGTGTCTCTCACTGTACTTTTGCCTCTCTCTTCTCACTGTCACACCCATTCTGTTTCCTGGTCTCCTGTCCACCTGTCTCTGCGCCTGTCTCCCCGTCTCTCTCTCCCTGTCAACCTTTCTCTGCTGGTCTTTCTCTCCTCTCTGCCCATCTGTCTACCTGTTTCTGTCTCCTTCTACCTGTCTTCCTGTCCACCTGTCTCCCTCTCTGACCATCTCACCCCCACCCCCCACCCGTTCCTCCCGGTCTCTCCCCATCCCTGGGCCACATCAGTGCTGGACAAGGGTCAGGTGATGACCGGTTACTACCGTTGGCTGCAGCGCGCCGGGGGCTTCGTGTGGCTGCAGTCTGTGGCCACCGTGGCCGTGAGCGGCAAGAGCCCTGGGGAGCGCCATGTGCTCTGGGTCAGCTACGTGCTTAGGTGAGGGCCGCGCCCACGTCTCCCACAGGGCTCCAAGCCCAGACGCCTGGAATCTGCTTCTCGGGGTGGGGGTTCCTTACTGAGGGCGTCTAGAAGAGGACACACATGAGGGAGGAGTGTGAAAACATGAAGGGGGAGGGGCAGAGTGGAAACAAAGGCCTGGAGGCTGGACCAAGGCAGAGAGGAGTTCCCAGGGGACAGCATTTGCAGGGGAAGCAGAAGCAAGTTCACAGTGGTCCCGGTGGAGGGTTTAACTTGATTCTGGGGGCACTGGGGAGCCATGGCAGGCTCCAGGCAGGGGAGAGCCACAGAGCAGAGCAGAGCAACTCCTGGAAAGAGGCTAGGGTGGGGAAGGGTGTTCCAGGCAGAGGGCACAGTATAGGTAAAGGCTTAGAGCGAGAGCCTGACCCATTTGAGAAACTGAAGGTCATGCATGGGGCTGGAATATGAAGTTGTGAGCGACAAGGCTGAGGATGATGGCAGGGCCTTTTGTACCAAGGGCACTGGGGAGCCATGGAAGGCTTTAGAGCTAGAGAGGGAGCCTTTGGCTGCTGTGTAGAGGGGGGACTGAAAGGAGAAGATGGGGGCTAGGAAACCAGGGAGGAGGCTGAGGCAGGTACCTGAGTAAGTATGGACAGCCCTGAGCTAGGGCAGGGCTGACAAGAGACGTTTAGGAGGAATGGACAGGTTCTGGGCCATGGCGGGCTCTGAGGGTGGAAGAGGGAAGGAGGCCACCTGCTGCCCAGGTCTCTGGCTTTGCTGGACCCAGCTGTGGGCCCTGAGAGGAAAAGCAGGTTTGAGAGGGAGAGGCTGATGTCAGGTGCCCAGGGGACACCCAGAAGGCCACTGACTCCTTGGAGGAAAGGGCAAGCTGGGCTAGACACCAGGTCATATAGGGCCTTCTATCCCAGGGGCACTGGGGAGCCATGGAAGGCTTTAGAGCTGGAGACGGACACAGTCAGATTGGCTTTTTGAAAAGACCTCCTGGCTGTTGTGTAGAAGGGGGACTGAAGGGCCAAGACAGGCCTTCAGTGCCTCAAGGAGGGGGTGCCCCCGATGAGGTGTGTCTGCACTCACCGGTGGGGGAAGGGAAGTCTACACTCACCAGTGGAGGCAAGAGTGAGGGGCTCTACACTTACTCCTGGGGGAGGGGTGGACAGGAGGGGGTCCACTCTCCCCAGAAGCCGGGCAGTGCGAGGACCCCATGGCTCCCAACCCCGACTGTGTCTTGTCCCCAGCCAAGCCGAGGGGGACCAAACGCCTCTGGACGCCTTCCAGCTTCCAGCCAGGGTGGCCTGTGAGGACCCATCCAGCCCCGAGCCAGAGCCCACAGGTAAGCCCCACCTCCCACATCAGCCCCTGGGAATTTTTGAGGGACCTTCCAGAGCTGAGCTGCCCACCCCGGTAACCACCAGCCACATGCAGGTGTTTACATTTAAATTAAAATGAACTGAAATGAAAAATTCAGTTCCTTGGTTATACTGGCCACTTTTCAAGGGCTCAGTCACCCCATGTGGCCAGCGGCTCCCATGCTGGACAGCATAGGTCTAGAACATGTCCACCATCACAGAAAGTCCTACTGAACAGCACACGTCTAGGCTTCTCAATCCCGGCTCTACTGGCATTTGGGGCCAGATGATTTTTGTTGAGGCTGTTCACCCACCTGAGGCCAGTAACACCCCTACCCCAGATGTGTCAACTAAAAATGTCTACAAGCCAAACCTGTTGCTGTCGAGGTGATTCTGACTCACAGTGACCCTTTAGGACAGAACTGCCCCAGAGTGTTTGCAAGGCTGTCATCTTTACGGAAGCAGACTGCCATGTATCTTTCTCCTGCAGAGCGGCTGGTAGGTTTGAACTGCCGGCCTTTCGGTTAGCAGCTGAGTGCTTAATTCCTGTGCCACCAGGGCTTCTTATTTTGACTCACAGCGACTCTATGTGACAAAGTAGAACTGCTCCATAGGGTTTCCTAGGCTGCAATTTTTACAGAAGCAGATCGCCAGGTCTTCTGCGGAGCCACTGGGGAGTTCAAACTACCAAGTTTTCCGTTAGCAGCCGAGCGCTTTAACCATTGTGCCACCAGGGCTCCTTTGAATATCTTTCAAAAAACTCAAAACAAACGTGATGCCGTTGAGTCGATTCCGACTCATAGCAACCCTATAGGACAGAGTAGAACTGCCCCGTCGGGTTTCAAAGGCTGTAATCTTTCAAAGGAGCCCCGGTGGTGCAGTGGTTAAGAGTTATGGCTTCTAACCAAAAGGTCAGCAGTTCGAATCCACCAACCGCTCCTTGGAAACCCTATAGGGCAGTTCTACCCTGCCCTTAGGGTTGCTATGCTATGAGTTAGAATCGACTTGATGGCAACGGGTTTGGTTTTGGTTGGTTAATCTTTCAGAAGCAGACTGCCACATTTTTCTCCTACGGAGCAGCCAGTGGGTTTGAACCACTGGCCTTTCAGTTAGCAGTTGAGCACGCTTAACTACTGTGCAAAACAGCCCTTGAGACCACTGAGCCCAGCCCCATTCCACAGATGGGAAGACTGAGGGCTAGGAACGCACGCACACAGTGCTCTCCAGAATCGTCCTCTTCCAGAGCCAGACCGTCCAGTGGCCGGGAAGCAGATTGTGCCCCAAGACAAGGACGAGCCCCCCCAGACCCGGGGCAAACGCATAAAAGTGGAGCCTGGCCGAGGGGAGACTAAAGACCCTGAGGACAGTGGGGATGAGGCATCATCCAGTCACCTGGCCCCGCCACAGCCCGAGTTTACTTCTGTCATCCGGGCGGGGGCCCTGAAGCCAGATGTGGTACAGCCGTGGGGCCTGGCACCTCCCGGGGAGCCCCCGCCGTCTGTGTTCCATGTGGGCTTCCTGCCCCCCACCATGCGAGGTCTGTGCACACCGGGCACCATCCGCTATGGCCCCACGGAGCTGGGCCTCATGTACCCGCACTTGCAGAGGCTGGGCCCGGGCCCCGCCCGCCCCGAAGCCTTCTACCCCGCCCTGGGCCTGCCCTACCCTGGGCCCACAGACACCAGGGGGCAGCGGAAGAGGGACTGAGAAAGCGGCCAACAGAACTGGACCCTGGGGGACAGGGCGGGAGCCAAAGGGACAGGGAACAAGGCTCTTGGCCCTGGAGAATTAAATGCCCGCTCTTCCTTCCGTAGCTCAGTCCCTGGGGGCTGTGAGCACCTCTCTCCTTTTATTTTACCTGTTATCTCTGCCCCCTTCATCTCCCACACTGGCCATTCCCTCTCCCTGTCCCTTCCCCCTCCCTGTCACCCTCCCCAACAGAATACGCGCCACCACTCAGAATCTGGAGGAGGGAGGGTCAAGTTTTAATGTCCCGGTCTGCAGGCCCCAGGCCGTCCAGCACCCAGGGCCAGCGGCCACAGTCACTCAGACGGTGGCCGGCCCGCCTCGTCAGGGCCTTCAGCAGTGGCTGTCCTGTCGTCCTCGGGCACCAGCTCCACGTCCAGCTCGAGCTGACCCATATAGAGACCAACCGCACAGGCCCAGAGCAGGCTGGCTGCCAGCACAGCCCCGACCCCTGCAGCCGCACCCCCCAGTGAGAGCTGCATGGGTACCCGCAGTGCAGCCAGGCCCACGGTGTAGGAGGCGCTGCCCCACACTACGCACAGGCCGCCCAACAGGAAGAAGCCTGTGGGGAGAGGGCAGAGGCCTGGTCAGGGGAGGGGAGGACCTGGTCCCAGGCTGGGGCTGTGGTGGTCAGGGAGGAATGGGGAAGGGGGGATAGAGGGAGGGCTGAGGGTGCTGCATGCAAAGTGTGTTCACGAGGTCACAGGTAGTGTCAGGGGTTGAGTTGAGGCTAGGAAGGGGATGAGGCAAACTCACGGTTAAGGCAGGGGTTGGGACTAATACAGAGCCAAGGTTGGGGGCATGACAGGCTATCAGAGAGGGTATCTAGGACTTGCCAAAATTGCCCTGGCTAAGAACCACAGGTCTACACTACTGAGCCCAGCCCCATTCCACAGATGGGGAGACCGAGGGCTGGGAACGCATGTGTGTACATAGGCACGCAAACACGCACAGCCCCCCAGAATCTTCCTGGAGCCCAGGAACAAAGGAGGGGCTGCAGGGCTGGTGTGAGAGCAAAAAAGGGCAGAGGCTTGGCCAGTATGGGGTGCTGGGAAGTTAGAGATTGGGGCATCGGGGGACACAGGCATGCCCTGGGCTGTCACTGGGATCTCAGATGTGCCCATGAGGTAGGGGTGGGGTAGGTGGGTGGTCTACACTCACCAGCGAGGGTGGGGGCATCATCTCCTGGTGAGGGGAGTATAGAGATGGGATAGGGCAGGAGAGTCTAACCCATGACTTAGGAGCGGACTTCTACATTACCCAGTGAGGGAGGGAGCGTCCACACTCCATGGTAGGGGTGAGAGTGGGGGTCTGCACTCACCATATGCTGCTTCCCGACCCATGTCACTCTGCATGAAGGAGATGACCCCAATGCCTGAGGCCAGGAGGCCATTTCGGAACCAGGAGAGGAAAGCTGGAAGGAGGGATGGGGGAGGTGTCAGCATTGGCCCAAACCTTGCCTCTGAGATCCCCCACTCCGCCCAACATCTCAGACAGAGCCAAACCAAGGGGCCTCCCCCTCATCCCACCCATCCCCAATCCTCACCTGTCCCAGACGCCCCCCACCCAACCCCACCCCCCAAATCCTCTTCCCCCCACCTGTGAGCCCCTCACTCCCAAACCCTTCAAAATCAACTCCACGAAATCTGGGGGACAGTCTAGACCAAAACTGCAGAATCTCAGTCAGAACACAGGAAGACCCACAAGGGATCATCTTGGTTGGCCCCCTCCCCACATGTGTACCCCCATTGCTGCCCCCCCCTTTTTTCTCAGGCCTCTGGGACAAACTGTCCCCCTACCCGTGGCCTCCCTCCAGTCTCCCCCTTCACCTTTCTTCAAATGCCACCGTCTCCTACCAGAATTGCCGCCCTCAACCCCCTCCCGCCAACACCACCTTATAGCTAGGTGACAGGTCCTTCCCAACCAGGACTGCTTCCCATGAGGTCCCGCCCCCTGCAGCCCGGATCGCCTCTCCGTCCAATCAGCGGAGAGCTTCTCTCCTATTGGTTGTTCCCTCCCCCAATCAGAAACTTCCCTCTTCTTCTGTGGGCTCAACATTCGCTCCTTGGCAGAGTGGTCGCACCTTCTTGTCCGAATTGGCCTCTGCAACGCAGACAGCCCCCCACCCCTTATACGCAGCTACCCAGCCCTTACCTCCCCGGAAGCCTTTCTCTCATCCAGACGGGCCCAATTCTGTCAGGCTGCCTCCCCTCACCGGACCCACCTCTGCAATCCTTGGTGCACTCGGCAAACCCAGACGCACAGTCCAATCAGCAAGCCCTTCCGTCTGGACAGGCTGCATTCTGGCGGCCAGCACTTTCCTACGCTTACACAGAAGCCCTTCTCCCTCCTGATCCCCGGCCTTGTTTCCATCAGACGCCCCACCTCACACCCTACTCAGATACTCAGACCCCCCCCGGTATCCAGACCTACCCCAGCCCCTGCCCCAACCTGTTTCATGCGCCTTCCGGAGGAGCCAGGCATCCGCGCGATCCAGCTCCGACACGGGAGGTGTCGAAGCCCCGGCGCGGGGGCCGTGGCCGGGCGCGAAGGACCCCCGGGAGCACCCACTCCGGGGCCGCGGTGGCGGCAGCAGCGCCCCCCGGAAGCGGAGTCGTGCCAGGCGGGCGGCCCGAGCCCACCACCAGCCACCTCCCATGGTTCGCACTAGAGCCGGCGCTCGTCGCCCCGCCCCACGAGCCTCTTGTAGGCTGCAACTCACGTCACTCAGGTTTAGCGGCTCGCCTAATGGTTATGCGCTTCCCCCCGCACTGTCCATTGGTCAGAATGGCGGTGTTTCCCTCCTCTGTCATTTTGCCGGCAGTGCGCGTCCCAGCTTGCCACTGACGCTGGACTACGAATCCCAGCGTTCATTGCGGCCGAGGAAGTTCGGTCTTCAGGAGCCTGAGGCGCGATGTCTGCTAGGACTTGTAGTTTTGGTTGGTAACTTTTATTCCAATGGCCAAAACAAAACGGGGTGCTCAACGTTAAACTTTTGCAAAATCTTGGAGAGTCCGGAGGGGAAAATAACACACCATTAATTCCACCAGTAAGCGGCTACCGCTAATATTTTGTTGTATTCCTATCCAGTCTTTTTATCTATATAGATATAAAATTATACTCCCTTTGATAAATTACTTTTTTTTTTTTTTTCCACCTAACAATATATCGTGAACATTACCCTGTGGCATTGAATGTTTCTCCATGGCATAATTTTTTATTTTCAAATTTATTTAGTTTTCTAAATATTTTGAACATGGTACAAAATGCAAATAGTACAAATAGATCTAATGAAAAGTATTTCTCCCACCCCGTTCCCCAGCCAGCCAATTCTGGTAGCCCGTTCCACAGCATCATGTTTAATGGTTAATATTGATAAACATTATAAGAACTTACCACAAGTGATTGATCTGGGCCCCTATTGTTGGACACCTATGTTGCTGGCCAATTTTCCCCACTATCTGCTATAAACGTCTGTAGTTTTGCTTGAAGTTTAAGCTGCTAGTCTCAGTCAGCAGAGACATGATCTGTGTCATAATGATGGATATATTTACTTGTCTCTGCCCTCAGGCTGTGAGCTTCCAGTGGGCTGGGTTCTTGACAGACCCATCTCTGTGTCCCCTAACCCAATACAGGTAGAAACTCGGTAAGGAAAATAATAGCAAATGTTTACTGATGGTTTTCTCTTTGCCAAAAATTGAGCTAGGAACATTAAGTGAATTATGTTATCTAATCCTCATTGGAACCATAGGCGTTAAGGCCTAGAATGTTCCCTCTTTTATAGAGGAAAAAATAAGGCAATAAAAGCTAACACTGCACGTTAATCATGTGCCAGGCAACATGCTATTGCTTTACATGGATTTATCTCATTAAATTTTCAAATTAACCCTGTGCCATGGGTATCACTATTATCTCCACTCCACAGATGACACAAAGAGAAGTTAAATCACTTGCCCTAAATCACACAGTTAATAAATGTCAAGTCCAATGCCAAATTACTAGACATTGTGCCATGCAGCCTATACTCATTCATTCATTCATTCCATATATATTTACTGAGATCTTACTCTCTGCCAGTACTGTGCTCAACAGTTGATATAAATCTGGATAAAACCGACAAAATGCTCTACCCTAAAGTTCCTCAGTCTGCTAAAGGGAATCTACAAAAACCTATAGCTAGCATCATTCTTAATGGTGAAATATTGATTACTTTTCCCCTAAGACTGGAAATAAAGCAAGGATTTCCACTCTCGCTGCTACTAATCAACACTGTATCTGAGGTCCTAGCCAGTGTAACAAGATAAGAAAAAGAAATAAAAGGCATCACAAATAGAAAGGAAGTAAAAATACCTCTATCTGCAGATGATGTGATTGTTTATGTGTAAATCCTAAAGTATCAACAAAACAACCACTAGAATTAATAGATAAATTTAGCAAGGTTTCTGGATGCAAAATTAATATACAGAAGTCAATTTTAGGTTTATATACTAGCAGCAAGAATTGTAAAATGAGATAAAAAATACTTTCCTTTACAATATTAATGAATAATTTCTTTTATAAGGATCAACACAAAGCTGGTTCCTATGAGGTAGAAGTTAATATGTCCCAGTTAAGATGTCCCAGATGTCCAACTTTTCCAAGCTGCTGTACCACTCCATCATCTCTAACATCAACTACTCCCTCTCCCCTCAGTACTCTCCCCCACCTTTGGCTTCCCTAATTTGCTGCAACATCTCACAGAACTCACGGACCATATAAAGGAAATGGCTCACATGGTTGTGGAGGCTGGCAAGTCCCAAATTCGTGGGTCAGACACAGGCTTCTCCCAACCCATGTGGCTGCAGGAACTGAAGAACACAAACCGGCAGTTCAGACCACAGGCTGCTGGCTCATAAGGCTGTGGAAGTTGGTGAATCAGGTCACACAGTAATACAATAGGCCACCCGCCCAAGGGGATGTGGATCCTGGTGAATCCCAGAATCAGCAGATCAGACAGCAGGCCTCTGGGAACGTCAACTGATCACAAACTAGATGCGGAATCCAGATGCAGAGAGAGAGTCTCGCCAGGACACACACATACATCATAGATGCAGGCCACACCCCAGGGAACTTTAGTAACGGTGGGGCTTGAGTCATGCCCTCCTGCAAGCCTGTGATCCAAGACACACCTTACACAGATTCTGCCTCATTAACATGTAGCGTTCAGGATCCACAACACATACAATGGAGGACAACTACACAATACTGGGAATCATGGCCTAGCCAAGTTGACACATAACCCCAACCATCACAGGATGCATATTCCCTCTCAATCATTGTTTGTGAGTCACAAAGACCATGGCTAGAAGGGCCATATTAAGTAATTCATTGCACTGCAAATAACATTAAAAAAAAAAACACAGAAAATACTTAGAAACAAATTTAACAAAATATGTTCAAGACTTCTACACTTAAAACTATAAAACATAACTGACACATGTTTTAAAAAGATGTAAATAAATGGAGAGGTATACCATGTTAATGGGTTGGAAAAATCTCCGCCTGAGCCTCATGACAGACCTTGAGCCAGAACAACCCAGCTAAATCACTCTGGGATTCCTGACCCACAGAAACTGTGTGAGATAATAAATGTTTATTGTTGTTTTAAGCTGCTAAGTTTTGACAATGCGACATGTGAGTAACAATCTGAGTGACAAAGAGTCAGCCATGAGGTGATGAGAAGGAGGAGTCTTCCATGCAGAGGAGACAGCACGTGAAAAGGCCCTGAGGCTGAAGTGTGCTTGACGTGCCCGAGGAACAGCTAGGAGGCCAGTGTGGTCTGAGTGAAGTGAGTAAGGGAGAGAGTGGAAGTTGATGAGATCGGAGAGGGAATGAGGGGAGGTCAGATTGTTGGGGTCTTGTGGGCCACCAGGAGAGCTTTGTATTTTATTTTAAGTGTAATGGCAGCCAGTGGCAGATATTGATCTGGGGAGTAGCATAATCTGACTTATGTTTTTAGAAGATCTTGCTGACTTCTAGGTGGAAAAATGGACTTAGCAGCCAGACAATGTTTATTTATTGTTTGTTGTTGTTGAGAATATACACAGCAGAACATACACCAATTCAACAGTTTCTACATGTGCAATTCAGTGACATTGATTACATTCTTCAAGTTGTGCAACCATTTTCATCCTCCTTTCCAAGTTATTCCTCTGCCATTACCATGAACTCACTGTTCCCTAAGTTTCTTCTCTAACCTTTCAAGTTGTTGTCGTTAGTTTGATCCCATATAGGGGTTCTTTAGAAGAGCACAAGCCTGAAGGCAGACATTCTTTAAAAATTAAGCTAAACTATCGTTTGTTTGGAGCCCTGGTGATGCAGTGGTTAAGCGTTTGGATGCTGACCAAAAGGTTGGCAGTTCGAATCCACTAGCTGCTTGTTGGAAACCCTATGGGGCAGTTCTACTCTGTCCTACATGGTTCCTATGAGTTGGAATTGACTCAACAGCAACAAGGTTGGTCTTTCTCAGTTTATTGTTTGGTTTAAAGAAGACTTCCGGGGATATTCTTGGTTTAAGATTTAAGGTTTAAAGATTATCTCAGGGCAATAGTTTCAGAGGTTCATCCAGCCTCAATGGCTCCAGAAGGTCTGGATTCCACATAAATCTGTTCTGTATTTCCCCCTTTTTGATCATAATTTGTCTATAGAATCTTTGATCAAAACATTCAGTAGTGGTACCTGGGCACACCAGAGGATGTTTTAAATGAGCATCTGGTGATGTCTCTCCCTAGCTTAAGCCCTCAGATAAGGGGAAGAACCTTCCATAGCTCCCATCACCCTCTGGAACCTTAGCTTACAAGGCCTGTCTGGCCAGGTCACTCTTGACATCGTCTCCTTCATCTTCTGCTGGGAAGAGCTTGCATTTGATGGTGGGAGGGACTGGGAATCCGTGGAGGGGTATACTCTTGAGGAGAGGGGTCAAGTGGACTGCAACAGATAGCCTGCCTGCTGGCCATGACCACTAAGCCTTTAACTGGGATTAAGTGGGGACTGAAATATCTGAGATACATTCTTCACATTCTTGGCTGGTGAAATCGTTCTTACTGATTAGGAAAGGAAAAAAAAAGTTGAATGCCAGAAAGAGTTAGGGCAGAGAAAAACAAATCTTCCTTAAAGAGACAGATCTTGTGTTGGCACTTGTGATTATATCAGTGCTTCTAATACGAATATTTGGGGAGCTTTAAAAAAATACTAATGCTCCTGAGTTTATGTTAAAGGTAGTGGAATGACTTGGAAAAGGATGGCGAGAATGGTTGCACAATTCAATGTTACTGAATTGTACGTGTAGAAATTGAGACGGCATATGTTTTGTTATGTATATTTTCACCACAATAAAATTAAAAAAAAAAAAAATTAATGCCCCAGCCACATCCCACACCAACGCAGCCAGCATCTGCATAGAGTGGGGCCAGGCACTGGTATTTTTTTCCAATGCATACATTTTTACCAAGCACTTACTAGGAGTCAGGCATTGTTCCGGGCACTGTGAATACAGAAAGAAGACAGAAATCATCAGAGTGGGACAGGGAATGATGTAGAGTTGTATCGCCTGCCCCTTGGATTCCCCACCTAACCCTAAACTGTTCATCCTTCTCTATGCTGAAAGCCACTCAGCATCAATCTCC